CTTACTCAAACAGTCCACAACCGTGAGAATGAAATCCAGCCGGTGTGTAAGAGGTGTGCCAGCTCGGGAGCCGTGGAGTAGTACTTGCAAGGGAGAAAACGCGCATACTTACTCAAACGGTCCACAACCGTGAGGATGCCGCCGTGCCCGAGGCGATCGCGGGGAAATGGTCCGGTGACATCCATGGCAATGGAGAGGCCAGGTTCCCGTGGGATAGGCATCGGGCGCAACTCGCCGCAGGGATTGCGATTGCGGGGCTTGCTTTGTCGGCAAACTTCGCAAGAGTCGCAATACCGAGTGACATCGGTAATGAGGTCGGGCCTTCGGAATAGTTGTCGAAGCCGTGCAATGGTGCGGTTGACTCCGAAATGTCCGACGAGTCGCGAATCATGATACTCGCCGAGAAGGCGAGTTCGAAGGCGACGGTCTCGTGGGACACATAGTAAGTCCTTGCCTCTCGAGTGGAGGAGCAAGTACCCGTCGACAATGTGATAGTGGCTGGCCGGCGGGTGATCCGAAGATAGCTGCGCATACAACGTGGCGAAGTCCGGATCAGACTCATAGCCCCGGATATAGTGTTGTTGGAGTTCCTCGTCGACTGCGAAGGCATGATGTGTCATAGCGCAAAGATCRGGTCTTCGCGAGAGTGCATCTGCTGCGAGATTGGAGAGGCCGGGGAGATGTTTCGGTGTGAAGTCATATTGGTTGATGAAGTACATCCATCACCCGATCGTGCTGCTCACCGTATCCTGCATCTTGTAGTAGGTAAATGGGTTGTTATCCGTGACCCATGTGAACCTACGACGCCCAAGGAGGAAGTGTCGCCATCGCTTGAGAGCCATCACGAACGCGAGCAGCTCCTTCTTCCTTGCATCATCAAGTGAATTGATGGGAGGCACTTTGTGGCTGAAATACTCCACCGGGTGCCAGTCGTCGCCGTCGTGTTGTTCCAAGACTGCCCCAATGCCATAGCTGGAAGCGTCAGTTGTCACTCTCGTAGGCAGGCTGGGGTCATAGATGCTAAGGACGGGTGCCATGAGCATGGCCGTCTTAAGTGCTTGGAATGACCGGCGTGCGTTGTCATCGAATACGAATGGCACCTTTGGAGATTGTAATCTCGTCATAGGTGCGGCAATCCTTGAGTATCCGGTGATGAATCGCTGATAGTAGCCCGCCAATCCCATGAATGAACGAACGTCCGTGGTGTTGGTGGGCTCGGACCATACGCGGATGACCTCGATCTGGACCGCAAGCGGACGGATGCCTTGCGGCGTCACATAATGTCCCAAGTACTCCAGCTCCTGCCGCGCGAATTCGCATTTGTCGTGGTTGGCTTGTCGTAGCCGCTCCAAAACGGTGCGCAGGTGCTCCACATGCTCGTCCAAACTCCGACTGTACACCAAAATGTCATCGAGGTAGATAAGTACGAAACGATCCAGCATGTGTCGAAACTCCGTTGTCATAGCCGCTTGGAAAGTGGCTGGGGCACGACATAACCAGCCATTCGAAATGCCCATATCGCATCTTAAACGCGGTCTTGTAGCGGTCCTCCTGCCGAATCTCGAGTTGGTGATATCCTGACTTGAGATCGAGCTTGGAGACCAACTTGGTGCCGCCCAGCCGTTCGAGGAGGTCGTCGATGCGTGGAAGAGGGCCGGCGTTCTTGACCGTTTGCGCGTTGAGCTTGCGATAATCGATGCACAACCGCATATCCTTGTTCTTCTTCCGGACGAAGAGAACGGGAGCACCGTATGGCGATGAGCTAGGCTGAATCCAGCCTTTCTCCAGAATGTCGTCGAGTTGTGCCCGTAGCACACTTAACTCTTCCTCGTTCATTCGGTAGATGCAACCACTCGGAGGTACAACCCCGTCCTCGAGGATGATCTCGTGGCGGCTGGACCGATCCGGTACTACTCCGTGCGGGCCTTCGAATACGTCGCCGTAGGCGTCGAGAAGCTCGGTGATACGTGGGTCCGAGGATGAGTCCGTCGATGAAGCGTCATGGGGCGGGAGGGCGTGGAGAAAACACACCCCCATCTCCTCGATGCCGTCTCAGATGATGGAAGCTCGCAAGCTTGCGGCGGACACCACGTGGCAGCTGATTGAAATGTGAGGAGGAGGCACCGTGCATGGGACTAGTACTCCGTTCCGATCACAGACGTGAACGGTGCGGCGGTAGAAGTTCACCAGGTGATCCATGACATGCCCAAGATCATGTCGAATTTGGTGTCCAAAATATCGAAGGACACCGCCTCGCTTGCATGCGGGGCAAAGTACACGGGGACGTCATCTATGCACCGGTCGATTGACTTGTGCGTGTGACCGTCTGCCAACGTGACTTGTGTAGGCTGGGACTTCGTTCGGACACGTGGGCCGAGGCCGGCGCGTACCATAAAGTCCTGGCTCATGTAGTTGCGAGATGCTCCGCAATCGATCAAAGCGCTGCACGTCGCCTCTCCGATCTGAATGCGTACATATAACAATGGTGTGTCGATGTCGTCGTACCACTGTGTCTTGAACTCGCGGTCGATCTTCGCAATGTAGGCGTGAAGGTCGACAACCTCTACTCCGGCGTCCATCAACAGAGTTGGTACTGCAGTGTGCAAGTAATCCCGCAATTGTGCCATGAGCACGTTGCAATGCGGTTTCAGCAATCGACCGGACCGGGGAAGGGGCATCCATTGGAAGTCCGCAAACGTGAACGGGTCGAGCTCTTCAAGTCTTGACCATATCGTCGAATCCCCGACTATAGATGGCGGCGAAGTTGCCGACTCGGTTGCCGATGGTAGTGAAACCGTGCATGCGGTAGATTGTTGCACGTGGAGCGGTTGGTCCAACGGTGGGACCAAGTGGACAGCATAGTCCTCGTATGTGTACTGAGGGCTTGCGACATTCGCATCCGCCCCAGATGTGTAGGAGGCCGCTAACAAGGCGACCGAATCTGGCGGAGTGAGAGGTGGAGTCGCCTCACCTCCGGCGTAACTCAGTTTCCCGAGTTGATACGAGGCCGAGCGTCCTCCTTGCCTTGATCAGGGCATTGGGAGGTCTTGTGCTTGGTGTTGTTGCACCAATAGCAGCAGCCGTAGCGGCCACGCCACTTGTATTTCGCCTCGGTCAAGTGAAACTTGACCCATGGTGCTGGCTGTCCGTTTCCGACGGGCGATGCGGTTTTCGCCTTCCCGTTTCCTCGGGACTTGTTGTTGCTTCGCGGCTGGACAGCAGCCACCTGATCTCCCTCACGTGATGCTTGGGTGGCTTCCGGGTCTTCCAAAATGTTGTCCGATTGGATTGCAGCGACATGCTGCGGCCGCGGACCAGTTTTCACCTTCTTCACATAGGTTGGCTGCCATGCTGATTTCTCATGTGCAGCTGCCCTATTGGTCTTGATGATCTTCCTTGCCTTGTCCATGATTTCGACGAAGGTCGCGTATTGCTCGCGATCACCAAGTGCAAGGCTCAAGGCGGCACATGACCGGTTGTAGAACTCGCGGCGCAGATGCGAAAATGGCAAGTCAAGATCAGGCGTTGCCGTGATCTCTTGCCATTCCGTGAGCCAGTCACGTGTTGATGTGTTGCCTTGCGTCATAGCGAAGAGGTGGTTGATGGCGAGCGCCGGGGCGTCGTCCAAGATGAACCGCTTCTTCCATAGCCGTGTTAACTCTTCCCAAGAGATCTTATCTTTCAGGTCTGCGACATCGACGCCGTGGATGGTTGCCAGGTGGCTCAACCAGATTTGGCATCCGCCCTTTGAGTTGAGGAACAGGGCGCCGATGTACGCGTGCTTGGCGACGAACAGAATCCGAAGTTGCGTTGTAAAGCCCTCCCACCAGAGGACCGGGTCTTGATGCGTATAATCATCGAACTCCTCGATTTGGAATGTCGGCATCTTGTAGTGATGCACGGTGTTGCCATCCTTGTTAAGGCAGCAGGTGGAGTTGCTGAACCTCGGTCTTCAAGGTGTCCAGCTGATTGCTCACGGTTGTGGACCGTTTGAGTAAGTACGCGCGATTTCTCCCTTGCAAGTACTACTCCACGGCTCCCGAGTTGGCACGTCTCCTACACACAGG